AAAAGAGAAACTGTCCAGAGAGCAGCAGTTCTCTGAGAGGAAGTAGCTTCTTTGTGTCAGAGGAGAAAGGCAGAACTCTGACAGGACAACAGCAGTAACTAAAATCGCTGCTCGTCACATCCAAAGTGATCAGAAGAGCATCTCTGAATGGGCGGCATGCTGAAGCCTGAAGCAGAAGACCACACCGGGTACCACTGCTGTCAGTGCGAACAAGACACTGAGGCTACAGTTTTCACAGTCTCACTAAAACACAAGAAGGAAAAACGTTTCTGGGTATGATCGGTCTCGAGGTCAGAGTAACCATGGAAACATGGATCCATCCTGCCGCTGGTGTAACGCTGCCGGGTAATCGTCTCAGATGACTATTACTGTTCTGCATCTCTGTGTCAGTGAGAGGACGAATGGAAACATTCGCTGACACGAGTCAGGAGCAAACATGTGACCTCAAATCGCTTTAAAGCCACAATTTTAGACAATTGGAGGCTCCACCAGCTGATCAGATAACACACCACCTTCATCTTCCATTAATACCATTCTCACACTGCTTTAATTCATCACAAAGCAGCCTCTACACACATGTGATGTCACAGACATGAGGCAGCACTGATATCGATCCATGAAACACAGATAAGGAAACAGTCGTCTGCAGATTGATTCCTTTGACTTCTGATTGGCCAACAGTAAATACTTTAACTGGCAGTTTATTAGTTTTATATTTTAACTGTAACACATTTCAGGTTCTTCAGACAGGGAGGAGTGCAGCGTGCTGTCAGCATATTTATCAGAATAAAACAGCAGCATGTTGTAATCTGGTTTTCTCCTCTGTAACAGTCACTGCATTGATATGATATCAGAGGGACAATGAGCGAGAACAGCGTCACAGTTTGGATATAATAGCAACAGGAACTTGTTCTTTCTGAAAGTACAACAAAATGTTGTTTTTGCTCAACTTTCAGCTTTAATGTGTGACATGATTAGATTCTTAAAGAGCAGGATGTGCCTCGTGTCTGAGAAGCTGTTCGACCAGGAGAGGTCTGGTTGACCCCCCAACCTGCTGTCAGACTTCACGAGCTCCGTGTTCAGAGATTTACCCTCAAACTGAAGAATCGACCCGTCACACCTTCGTGGACCCTTAATAAACCACTGACAGCAGGCAAACTTACATCAGTACTGCCAACGCATAGCCCAGAGGCGCAGGTTTGACACCAAAGGGGGGCGAAAGC